TTATATCTCAATAAAAATGGTGGGGAAAGACTGTGTTATGAAGCCAGCTACCACTGGTTGTTGGGTGGCTGGAACTTAATCCTGCAGATAATGGTGTAAAACACATGCTTCAAAGGGCATTTATTCATCAACTCCCATCAGCCATTATTTGAAGACTGCTCCTGGGGTATGTCATTCCCTAGCATTTCTGGCCTGCAACACACATTTGGACAGAAATGTCTTTTGCATCCCAGAAAAAGTCTAAGTGCAGAGATACAGATACTAGCTATTGGAAGTCACCTGAGTACACCAAAATGGTACAGTCCCAGGAAGCTTGGGAAGACAACTGGAGCATCTACTACAGCCAGTGAGGGCACAGTAGAACTTATACCTCCATATGTTGTTAGGAACAATGTAATTTGCCACAATTTATTTTAGAAAGATATTTGACTATCTATATATCAAGGGCCTTAGAAAAGTTGCTACTAAGGATAACCTCATAAAAATAATTATATGCATATTCATCACAGTGTTATTTCTAATGTTAAAAAAAATAAGAAATAATCTAAATGTCCAACAATATAAGAATTTTTAGGGGGGGCCAGCCCTGTGGCCGAGTGGTTAAGTTGATGCACTCCTCTTCTGTGGCCCAGGGTTTCACCAGTTCGGATCCTGGGTGTGGACATGGCATGGCTCATCAGGCCATGCTGAGGCAGCGTCCCACGCGGCACAACTAGAGGGACCTGCAACTAGAATATACAACTATGTACTGGGGAGATTTGGGGAGAAAAAGCAGAAAAAAAGAAGATTGGCAACAGTTGTTAGCTCAGGTGCCAATCTTTAAATTTAAAAAGAAAAAGGAATTTTTAGGAAAATTATATATGCCTGATGGATGAAATTTTGCTGTTAAAACTGAGAATTGGCCTGAGTTGTGAAGCAGTTTGTATGGCAGCCTGGGACTAATATAGAGCCTCTCTTCCTCTGGTCCTACTCAAAACTAGTAACCTTTGGAGATACTTGATAAATGGGTTGGAATAGCATGTCCAAAAGAGATATATGTTATCTGTAAAAATCCAAGAAGGCTTACAAGGTGTTTGCCTCTTTTTTAATGTTAAATGGGACCAGAGGCAGTAGCTTGTCCTTCATCTTCAAAGGGATACGTCAACATGCTTCCTACCACTAGACCTCTAGAAATTTCACCAAAGGGGCAAGCCCCTGAAATTTGTGTCGTATTTCTCTATTTACACATCCTTACATTTCCAAGGTAGTGAGTTTTTCTCCTGTATGTTACGATGAGGCTAGCCTCTTCAAAAGTATCATCACTAATAAGAAAGAGCTAAATGATAGTCACCAGGATCTTCAAAGCAGCCATAAGTAATGTTCTGAGAAAAAGCAGAACACTAAGATAAGAAACGGAACCAGAGGCTAAAGTCCTAATGGCAATTTAAAAGGAAAAGAGGGCCTGCAGGGTAGGAAACCATGAAATTAGGATATAAAATTACTCCCCCCCACCCTCATCAAAGAGAGAATGCCACATTTAGGACTAGTTCCGCAGGTCCTTTATCTTCTTTATATTTCTTCCTCACTTTTAGCACTTGGTATCTCTTCTGCTCTCAATTTAAATGCTGGGTTTCATTGATTACCCTTGCCTCAATCTATCAGGTTCCAATGCCTCCTTCCTCCTACAAGATATAAAGCAAACAACTCATATCTGAAAGGCTCCTTCAAATATGACCCCCAACTATCCTTCCAGCCTCAGCTCCAACACTTTACTCAGGCAAACTATTCTCAAGCCACGTTGAATTCCTCACTTTTCCTTGAATACCTTGTATGTTTTCTCAACCTCTAGGCTTTGCACATACTGGTCCCTCTCCTGGGAATGACCTCTCTCCTCTTCTCCTCCTGGATAGCTCAATTCAGCCTCAAAACTCAACTCAAACATAATTTCTTCTGTGATTTTCCTGATTCCCCCAAACAAGTGGATCAGTCTCTCTCATCTCTGGGATCCCCCCAGCACTTGGCACATAATTGTTAGAGTGTGCACCACAAGAGATTGTTATTTTTCCTCTATATATGCCTCTCCTGGTGAATGGAACAAAGGAGAAGCATAATAAACATTTGCTCAGTAAATGAATGGATGGATTTATTACCTTCTGGTCTGCTCATTTCCTCCACTGTAGTACCCCATCTATTCACCTGCAATTTGCTGTTGATTTTATTTAAAATCTTTAAGAGGGAATTTATTCTCCCAAAATAGCTAAGTAATTATCTAAAGTCACTAATAGAATGTTCCTTTGCATTGATTTGTTCCGAGGTCATTTGGAAAAACTCCGATATTTGGTGTTTAATTCACCGGTTTTTTTGGTGACCCAGTTTTGCATGAATCTCTATATAAGAAACAGAAAGAATTGACCAGTTAATTAAAATGTTGATCTTCTTTTTATAGTTTACTCAGTCAAAGTTAAGTACTTATCCCAGAATAGTAGACAGAACCTTTGATTAAAGTTCCTGTTTTCCAACATATGGACTATGTGACCTTTGATGGATAACCTCTCTACTGCCAGTTAGCTTTCCACTGTAAAATGAAGATAATCCTTGCTCATCTTATAGATTTCTTGAAAATGTCAGTTTTTTAAGTGAGGACAAACACTAGTCAGTGCAACTACTATGAGTGTTCTGTCTGCCTAACAAATATATCAGTACATTAAGTGAGGCATTCCAGGGACAACTTGTGTACTCGATGATTTATTTATTTAACATTATATCTCTACCAACTTGCACAATATCTGAACAAAATAGAAATTTAATTAACACATATTTAAATATCTGAATTTCAAAGAAGATCATTGAGACAGTATCTGGAAAATTCAGGAATCTTTGCTTCATAGTTGGAGTGAATAATTTTTTCTGTCATTATTGTAGGCTAATATCTCACTTTGATCTGAAAGAAACAAGTCGTTTGTGGTCATAGTAGTCTAATGCAGTCGTCCTTGTGTCTAGGTCAAATTCCAGCCCAAGTAAATCACAACTCAGTAGTATAGAGTTTTAAATTGGTAAATTTAAGGAATGCTAATTTAATGCTAATGCTAATTTCTGGGTTTCTTTTTTTGAGAACTACAGATCGTCAGTTATACCGATTGACCTATAAATGCAAATATCCGCCAGAATACTGGAATACACTGACAATATGTTTTACCTAAATTAGAAGTGTCACTTTGTGCCAACTAAATTAGGAGCACCTGTGTCACTTTGCTCCGATCTTGCAAGTTGTGAAGAGCTCCGAGTTCAAGCTAGTGTGACAGCTGCTTTGAAATAGCAGGGCAGTGCAGCTGTAATTGTGGTGACAGCTGTGCAGATAGAGCTACATATCAAGGGAGAATTATCCTCCCATTTAATATTTTTTCCTCCCTTGAAATCTCATCTCGATTTTGCTTTCTATTCATAGTTTAATTCTCTATGGAAGGAACTGTAAATTAGATTCCTTAAAAATTAAACACATTCATTCATTTCGCAAAGGTTATTGAGTTCTTATGTGACAAAAGGGCAAGGTGCCGGGGCTGGTAATAAAAAGAAAGATAAGAGTTCACTGTAAACTCAGGGAGACAGACCTGTGAATGGCTTGTGCCCTAAGGGAGCAAAAGGTAAAAGCATCTAATTTCAAGAAAGAGAAGGGGTCAGGGAAGGCTTTTTCAGAAAGGTGGGCTTGAGCAATGCTGGAGAGATGACTATGATGATGAGTTAAGGTATTTCTAAGAAGAGTGAGGGAACTGCATGCATTTAAGGCCCAGGAGTATCGATCTGCTTTGTGAATCCAGAAAACTACAAGTAATTCACACTCTTGAGAAAAAAAAAGAGTGTAGAGATGGGCAGCAGAGTACAGGACAGTCAGGATAACCAGGGGATAAAGGAGAGCCGGTCAAGAGTGGATCAAAAAGGGTGCTGCATAGCATGCTGTTATCCTGGGAGTGACAGACAGCCTCTTGTGGGCTTGAAGTGCAGGCTCCAAGTGACTGTAGCAGGCAGGACCAGATCACAGTAATTTGAAAAGGCGTAGTTTAATATAACAAGGGATTAGAGTAGCCAGGGATTAGAGAACCCAGGGATTAGCCACTAAGAAGTAAAAAGGACTCTAGAGAACATAGGGGTAGCACATACAAGGAGCAGCCACTACTTCTCAGGATGAGATAGAGCCCAGGGACAAACCTACCTCCGCCCCCCAAGGCTAAGACCTGGACCTTGTTGGAGCGGGCACAGAAGTGGCTCACTGGACGGAGAGAAGATGCTGTGATGTTACACTAGTGTCACTTGCTGGAAATAGAGCCTCTAGGATCCCAGCGAAAACTATTCACAGGGAGCTGACTCACTAGAGGCACCGTGTTATAAAACTGCCCGAGGGCAGAGGTGCTCAGGAAGCTGCTGGCTGCTGGGTTCTGCTGCCCGGCAGGGACTGCAAAGCCGGCACTGGAGAAGCTGCCTGCACTGGCAGAGCCCAGTGCTGCAGAAGTCACCCATGCTGCAGGAGTTGGACAAAAGGAACACACCGGAACCAGGAAAAGGCCCTTCCTTCTGCACTGTATCCCCGTCACCTTCCAGTGACAAAACTTAACATCAAGCTAGCTGCAAAGGAAAATATGTAATTGGCTCATGTCCACTTTCGCAGAGCAGGTAAAAAAGGTTAATTTAGAGCTGAGAGGAAGCAGAGAACCAACACGATTTGCATCAAGAATGAACAAAAGGCCAAGCAACTGGCGCCACCTCTAGAACTGACAAGGAAGGAAGAGTCTAGAAATGGAGGCTAGGTGGAACACTGCTTAAGTAGTCAGATATTTTTTTTTTTTCTGCTTTATCTTCCCCAAACCCCCCCTGTACATAGTTGTATATCTTAGTTGCAGGTCCTTCTAGTTGTGGGATGCGGGACGCCGCCTCAACGCAGCCTGACGAGCGGTGCCAGGTCCACGCCCAGGATCTGAACCCTGGGCCGCAGCAGCGGAGCACGCAAACTTAACCACTCAGCCACGGAGCAGCCCCATAAGTAGTCAGATCTTTAGATTCTTTCCATCACTCTCTGCAGCAGGGTGACTGCTCTCCTTCGACCTAGCAAAAAGACTGGAGTTTTATTCTTTCAGGACAACACAGGTCTTTGGACTGGGGCATGCCAGGCACGGTGTGAAAACCAGGCAAATAAGTGAACACAGACGTGCTGAGTGCTGAATACTGAGACCCCTGTGCTCCTCCTTCCTTGCTTCCAGAGGCTGGCTCCATGTTGACAATATTTTAGTTCTCTACTCTTAAAATAAGGAGAAGAAGGATAACGGGACATCTAAGGAAGCCTCTAACAAAAGGTAGAGACAAAAATAGTAATCGAAACAAACATCTTAGAAGGAAAAAAAAGTTCAAATATTCTCAAAGAAATGAGATATTGCAACCATGAAACAAAAACAATATATTAGATAAAAAGGAACATTCAGGAAACAAAAAAAGATGATAAAAAGCATGACGACAGAGACGAAAACGTCAATAGTCATGATGGAAGATAATTTCAAGGAAATCATCCAGAAACTAAAATACAAAGACAAAGAGATGGGAAATAAAAGAGAAGAAAATAAGAAGATGGTCCAAGAGATAGAATGTTTGAATCACAGAAGTTTCAAAAAGAGAAATCAGATAAAACGGTAGCCAGGGAATCATCAATAAAATAATTTAAGAAAATTTCTCAACACTGAGACATGAGTTTCCAGATTAAAAGAGCCATTAAGTGACAGCATAAAAAGATGAAAAACAGATCCAGCTAAGACCTATGAGTGAAATTTCAGGTTAACAGAGATAAGGTTCAAGAGAGAAAAAAAGAAGACAGTAAGTATGCCATGGAAATGAGGAAACAAAATGAGTTATCTCAACAGCAACACTGTTCTCTAGAAGAGAGGGGAGCAGCACTTTCAAAATTATAAAGAAAAACATCGCTCAATGTAGAAGTCGATGACTAGACTGTCAGTGTTACAGTAAAATAAAGATATTCTCAGATATATAAATTCTCAAATATTGTATTTCCCATGCACTCTTTCTCAGAAAATAATTAGAGGATGTGCTCTAAAAAAAAATGAGAGAGTAAACAAGAAAGAATGGGGATCAAGGAAAGAGGACACCCAAATTAGGAGAAAAACAAGGCAATTCTTAGCATGACAAGGAAGGGAAGTTCCTGGAGACGTGCTTTGCAGTATCTGTAAAGAGCAGTCAGTTCAGATAGAAAATGAATGGAGGTCTCCAGATGGATGACTCCATAAAAAAATAATTTGAACTGATAGATTGCCTAAGAAGAATAATCTTGGGGGAAATGCTGCTGAAAGGCTATTGTGAAAAATTAGCAAAAGGCTTAAATGAAATCAATCTAATGAAAAATCAAGGCTATTATTAATGTCAAGAAAAATAAAAGTATAAAAGGAAGTGTAGTTTTTGTAAATTCTTAAAATGCTCAGCTATAAGTATTATTTACACAGTCATAATAATATAAGCAATTAATTAAATCTAAACAAAACTTTTAAGGTAACTCTATTGTGGGAAATGGGGAGGGAAGCAGAGAAAATGAAAGTTTCATGGAGCTAAATCTTTAGGCACCATATTAGAAAGTCAATAGATAACACCTAAAATTGAATAATCAAAATATAGGAGTATATGCATATTATTTAGAAATATGGACATGTATGAAGAAATATCTCTAAAGGAGTCGAAATTGATGCCTTGGGGGAAAGAAATTGGAGAAGAGTTTGACAGAAAATCACTGTATTTTGTTACATATATTTGACTTATAAACCATGCATATATATTATTTTTAAAAAATAAGTTTTAAAAGGAAAAAAAAGAATATATTTATTGAAGGGGCTTAGAAGAGGCCTCCCCAAGGTGTGCCACTTTGGCATGTGGAATGTTGAGCTAAAGGCAATCGAGAGCCTGCGGGTTCAAGAGCAACTTTTACCTCAGCCTGGAAGAATTTAAATTGAGGGCCTTGCCCATAATAAGAGTTATTACCAGAAATAACTTTTTATGACCTATCTGTATGGTAGGGCAAACATCTAATTACTGAACATCTGCTCTTCTTATCATTCTGTGAATTGCCCTCCTCCCCTCTGAAGCCCTAGGCCCCTATCCCGTGGCTCAAGATGGCGTCTATATCTCATTTTACCTTTCTGTCTCTGAACCCCTTATGTATGTGAAGTCTCTGACTCTCTCATATATGTGGAGTTCCCATACATATGAAATTAAATTTGATTTTCTCCTGATAATTTGTCTTGTGTCAGTTTAATACTTAGATCAGCCAGAACCTAGAAGGGTAGAGGAAAATTTCTTCCTACCCCACAGTTGGTGTAGTTGGTAGGATAAGCTTCCCTGGCTAGACTCTGCTCCCTCTGAGGCCACTGCAGAGAGATCCTGGGACATCTGACAAGCGCCAGCAGAAGGTAAGAGTTCTTGCCTTGTCAGTCTCCCAGATCTCTGCCTGCCGCAGGGTCTGTTGGAAGCTAGAGTGGTAAGAGTCTTTTTTTTTTCTCTTTCTAAATTTAGATTAGCAGGAGAAGATATTTGTGAAATTAATTTCTTGGGCAAAAGCAACTCTGGTAAAGATTTGGGACCAGTATTCTGATTTTCTGTTGATCCCATTTCTCCCAGAAATGGTCATTGTTTTGTCTCTGCCAGCCGGAGGATGCATATGTATCCAGTGGGCAGCCAAGTAGGCTGTGGATCCAAACTTAGGGAATCAAAAAAAGGTGGGGTGATAAACTTTTGGCTTGGTAAGTCATGCTATTCTGTTCAAAAGGGGGGAAAACATGTGATTCTTTGTGATTTGGAATGGCTGCTTAAAAACAGGGACCCTCATAGTCACTGACTTTACTTTCTAAGACTGACTCTGGGAGTCAACTTTCTGGATCTTATGAGGACTGCATCCTTTGCAATCTCCTTTTGAGACACCTCTAGCATCTGTGTTTGTCCATGGTTAAGCCAGAAAAAGGTTTATTGGTTTGAGTTGCTATTAAGACTCATTAATGGCTAGATGATGGATATTTTGAATTGAAAAAACTTCTAAACTGGAAAAACAAGTTTTTAGAGAGCTCTTATATTGTTATAATGGCTAGCCATTAACACTCCCTCAATAAGATGGAAGGGTAGAAATTAGAACAAAAATCAAAATCCACTCAGACCCCTTCTTATTTGCAGATAGTATTAAAAAAAATGAGGACACTGGAAGTACAATTATCCAGCACTTAGGAATAAAAGGAAGAAATATATATATACATATATATGTGTATATATGTATATATATATATATATAAATGTATAACAGCTAGACTTAGGGATCCCCTAACAAGAAGAACAAAACAAAAACAAAAATCCCACATAAAACTGCCTTCTTAAATCCTTCTTAAAATCTAGCCCCATCTGCTGTTTCAGCTTCCCTTGTCCTACAAGATCCACAGAGAGCACTCCAGCCTAATCCCTAAGAGTATATGGGTCACTCACATAAATGCTGAAAGCCAGAAAATGAATGTAATAGAATCACCCAGGACAGGCAGTAAGGCTCACTTTGCTGGGCTCTATAATCAAGCTCTCCCAGCTTCAGGCCTTCCTGGGCAATATCCTTTGCAAATATATCCTAGAAGCCCCTCCCAGGCAATTGAAGCCCCCTGCAAAACAGCCCTGTTACCACCACTCAGTGGCCATTCTGTGATGCCCAATCAAGAGAGGAAAATAAAATTTCATGTTCCTTTCTTTCCAAATCCAGACCCATTGGTTATTGACCCTTTCTCTCCCAGGGATAGCTATTGCCTTCTTGCTTGTTTCGTTTTGTGTCCTAAGGGCTTGACTTGGCTTTCTAACTACCTGGGACATGCAGGATGTCATTTCTTCCTGTTAGCTATCTTTAGGAGTGATTCTAGATCTTGGGAAGGTAGTAATCTTTGAGGACATCTGTTGGGTCCATGGAGTTGTTTAATATTGCCAGAAATATTTACTGTTTGTCCCAGTTGCCTTTACTGGCAAGATATTTAAAAGGGTTTTTTTTTCGGTAGCTCCATGGTCAAAGGTTGGTCAGAAATTGGAAGCTGATATTCAGAACCTGATAGCAATTTTTTTAGGACTTCTCCCCTAAACTAAATAAAACTATGTACCCAGAGAAAAAGAAGCAAGTTAGGGATGATGTAGTTGGACTGGTAGATCAACCTATGATATCACTTAAGTTACAGCCCAGTTTTTGAGGAATTGAGAGCAATAGTTCTTGTCACCAACTAGTTGCCCCGAGGAACTCAGGGGTGATTTGGAAGCATTTAATTGTTTTTCCAAATTGTTTTTCTCCTTTTATTATGTTAAGGAGATGCAATCACCAACCAGCCTGAACAAGACCAAGCCTCACCACAAGAGCTACACCTATGATCTTCACCTTATTTTTAATGCTATGATCTCTCCACACCGTAACCTGCAGTGTATGTGGAAGCATGTTTTCCAACTGAGCCTGTGCAAGCGAATACTCACCTCTCCCTTTTGAATATTCATTCTCCATCTGAAATAAATGTCCCTGCTTCCCTTTGTTTGGGGACACATGACTTTGGAGATGATTCCTCTTGGTCCCCTACTTGCTGCAAATATACTTTACTTTGTGAGACAACTACCTCTGGTGGAGAGTCTGATTTAACTCACCAGGGGGGAACCCACTTTGGTTTTAGTAACATTCTTATATTACAAATCTTTGCAAAACTGGAAATGCAGCTTTAGAAGCAGTTCAGATTCCACCCATTCCTTTTCATCAATCCCCAAACCTTCCCTGTTTATCTCAAAAGGCTTGTAACCTCTCCAGGAACTATTATATAGACCATCCCCAATTCCTAAGACTGAAGAAAAAGGAGAAAAAAAAAAAAATTAAGATGATAGCTAACTGCTTTAATGTCTCATAAAATTTTTATGAGTATAATTGTTAAGAACAAATGAATTAAATAGATGTAAGGGAAATAAGAGTTTTTAGGTGAACTTCTTAGCAATGATTGCTTTATGATATGTCTCCTTAAATAGTTTCCCAAATCTTTTTGGTAATCAACACCTGAAACCTTAAAGTTTTGCTAAGTTAAGTTAAATGATGAGGTAAGTTAAATTCATTGAATATTAGGATCATTTCCAAAAAGGATAAAATACTGAAACATTAATCACTGAACATAGGTCTATCTACTTTTTGCTTCCTTTTATAAAGAAACTAAATGTATTTTGGTCCATTAGTAAACATGTCTTGTGCCACACTGAGAAAAAAAAGTATGAGCTATGGAGATGTGTTTTTGTTAAGGGAAATGAAAATAATTTTGCCCTGGTTGTTTCACAATGGGATGAGAGAGAGAGAATTTTACCTTGCATAATTAAGCTGCCTAAAGTTGAATTGTCATTATAAGAGTTTTAAAAATAAGCTTTAATGTCAATAATGTACTTATATAATACTAAAATTTAATATTCTTTCATCTGCTAAAAGGACAAAGATTTGCTTCATGATTGGTATGCTCCTAATAAGAGATTATAAAAGGAAAGCAAAGATTTTATGTTTTATCGCAATGATTTTCTGTGATGTTTTTATCAGGTCTTTGATTACTTAAACTGATTACAAGAGCTAAGTTTTACTTATAACTATTTAACTTTCTGTATTTGCCTTCAAAGTCTTTTCATTGTCACCATGGTCAAATGAATAGCTAAGTATTGTTTCATAGTGACCTACGATCCTATTTGACCAAGTGTTTTAAAACTTTTTGATATTTTTGACAAACTTCCCCAAATCAAATTCTAATGAAGTCTTTTTGACCTCTGGCTAACTTTGGGATTTTTCAGAGGATCCCTGAAACTTCTCAAAAGGAAGATTTGCTCTTTCTCTTTATAGAAAGAGGGACGTTGGGGCTGGCCTGGTGGCACAGCAGTTAAGTTTGCATGTTCCGCTCTGGCAGCCTGGGGTTCACCGTTTCAGATCCTGGGTGCGGACCTACACACCACTTATCAAGCCATGATGTGGCAGGCATCCCACATACAAAGTAGAGGAAGATGGGCATGGATGTTATCTCAGGACCAGTCTTCCTCAGCAAAAAAGAGGAGGATTGGTGGCAGATGTTAGTTCAGGGCTAATCTTCCCAAAATAAAAAAAGGCTGCTATTAAACTAATTAGACTTATTTGCTATGTTAAATTACATGGGAAGCATTGTCAAATAAGAAGCAACATTGAGCCTTTTTTATTTTGTATTTACATAGGTATATGGTATAAGTGTTCCAAAAATTGTGTAAAATTTTTGGAAATCTCATATGTCCTGGCATAAAATGTTGTCTGTCATCAAAATTGAGGCTCAGACTAAAAGGACTGAATCTGAGTATCAGGAAAATGCCCTAGCTGACTTTCATGCAAGGGTAACAACAACAGAATCTTATAAAGATTGTAACACATGTAGATGAAGTCCATTCTGCTTCTGCAAAAGTTGACCCCTCATTGCAAGATTTTTGCCATCCTGATGTCCGTGTAACATGGCAACAGTCTGTTCCATTGGGTAAACGATAGCTATAAGTTAAACAAACAGTTGGGGCTATAGGAAACCCAATATGGCTGCTTTGTTCTTCCTGGCTCCCTGGAAAACTCCATTGTTTGCCTTTTGCATTCCTTCACTCACCACAATACATTTAAGATGACTCAAATTATGAATAGACGTTGGTGGGGAGACGTCTATACATTTGCAAAAACAGTCTATCAGCAATGTCTGATCTGCCAGGTTCATAACCCTAGTAAAACTGGTTTTCCCTGCAGATTTCCTCCTTCTGGACCCTTTGAGCACCTGCAGCTGGACTTCATTCAACTGCCACTCAGTAAGGATTATCAATATGTTCTTGTTATAATATGTATGTTTTCCAGATGGGTTGAAACCTTCCCTTACTGCAAAGCTGATGCCCTCATTATGGCAAGGAACTGTTAGGAAATGTGTTTCCCACTTGGGGTATATCTTCCACAATCTCTAGTAATTGAGGCATCCACTTCATTGGGCAAATCATACTAGCCTTAACAACAACCTTACAAACTTCTTGGAATTATGGCTGTTCCTACCACCCTCAATCATCAGGCTAGATTGAAAGAACTAATGGAAAAGCTGGATTAAAGCAGAACAAGAATTAATTACATCCTGATGAGGATTATTATAATTTTTATAACTTTTTGTCTGAAATATTACTGCTTTTTAAAATATTTTGTTTTTCCAGATTTAAGGAAAATTTTCTTTCTTTTTTCTTAAGCTATCTGTAGTTTGCAGTAATTTGGTGAATTATACCTTTATAAGCAGATTTGAAACAATTACTTTTTCTCCCTACCTGATCCCTCCAGAATTCAGAAACTCTTAGTGCGTATTCTTATTTTCATGGCATTAGATTTATTTGCATAAGTCAATAAGAATTTGTTCTCCTTGTAACAGGATACAATTGGAAACTGCTTACATTGCCAAGGCTTTGATTGGAATGCCACATTTGAGAGAGACATACATAGACTCAGATATAACCAGACAGCTTTAAGGAACTAAGATTGACTTTATGGAGCCAATAAAGACCTTTGGAAAGAACAACCTGGTACCTTGCTTACATGGTCCCTGACAGCCTAACCAGGTGAGTAAGGAGAACACTTTCTGGCAAGCCCAGGAAACCCAGATAATTTAGGGACCTCAAGAAGAGAGGAATTCACCCTAATCTATAGGTACTGCAGGCAAAGTCTGATAACAAGTCCTTGGCTTGGCTTTCCTGGCCTCAAGAGGCCTTTAAAAATTCAATCTGAGATTCCTTATGAAAAATCGCAGTAAAGGAGATTTAAAAGAGCCTATATGGTTAATCACTATTCTTGATGAATTTATGTAAGTAACAATCTGAGTTTAGTGAAACTAGACTTATTTTGCAAACAAATTACTTTTACTGTAATTATCTTTGATAGAAATGGGAGAGATTGTAGAAAGAAAAATTATGTTTCAGTATTACATCTTTATGGATATCAAATTCTAGTGCTATTAATTGTCTTTGAGGTTTTGCTTCCTACCTATAAATTGGACTAGATCCTGAATTCTTCTAGCTCCCTCCAATATCTGGCTATGACTCTTCAAACTAACATTTCCAGCTTTTCTCCCATCCTTTTGACTTGGAATCATTGAAAACTAAAACTGCCCCTTTCTGAAGCGATGCAAGCTAAAGTTGGACAATTTGATAGAAACTTCAGAGAAATCAGCACAACAGCTCATGTATGGACAATCTTTGTGCCTGTTGCTATATGGGCCACTCAAAAAGATCACCGGAGATATTCAAAATGCAACCCAGGAAAATCTGTCAGATTGCCACTGACTGCCCTCACTCCATCTGAAGATGCGTTGAGTCTGACATCTAGAAATCTTCTCGACTAGCTACCTCAGAATTCAAAAACTGGAATTCTAGTCTACTCCAATCATTAACCATTATTTATTTTATTTCCATAGAAATGCCTCTTATTAAATTCCTGGTTGCTGGCACTATAGGCCTAACTTTGGGAGCCCACCTGTATCACCACCTCCTGAAAAGAGAGAAAACTGTTTAAATGAACTGACCTATTCTCAGAACTAAGAGACTGGCTCAACGAGATAGAGCATTCTACCAGCTTAACTTCTGAAATGTGAAACTTCTCAGGAAGTCTCAAAGGGAGCCTGAGGGATTCAGAACAGACAGAACAAGATCTGCCACTTTGGCATATGGAATATATTTTGAGCTACAGGCAATGAAGACCTTGTGGGCTCAAGAGAAAACTCTTACCTCAGCCTTAAAGAATTTAAATTGAGGGCCTTGCCCATAATAAAAATTATTACCAGAAATAACTTTTTATGACCTACATGCATGGTAGGGCAAACATCTAATTACTAAACATCTGCTTTTCTTATTGTCCTGTGAACTCACCTCCTCCCCTTTGAAGCCCCAGGGCTCTATCCCATTCCTCAACTCAGGATGGTATATGTGCTTCATTTGCCTTTCTATCTCTGAATCTCTCATGTATGTGGGGGTCTCTGACTCTCTCATGTATGTGGGGTTCCTGTACATAAAAAATTAAATTTGATTTTATCCTGTTAATCTGTTTCCTGTCAACAAAATTCTTAGACCAGCCAGAAGAACCCAGAAGGCTAGAGAAAAATTTCTTCCTCGCCCACATTAGTTAAAAATGTTTCCATATTCACACTCATTGAACAAATGTGTGTGAAGAATTTTCTGGGTGCCCAGCTCAATGCTCTGAACTTGGGATAAAACTGGAATAAGATAGGTTTCTAACCTCAAGGAGCTCACAAAGTTGGAAGACGACAGAAGGGTGGTGAGAGAAACATGAAACAAATAATGTCTTATAACATTGCTGTAAGTGCTAGATGAGAGTATAAATTGTAGTTTGGGGAATTAAATTGTCTTAAAAGAAATATAAGAGAAAAAGTTTCTTGAAAATAAATGTTTTTACAGTTTAAAAGAGGTTACTGTATCAGCTCATTAATAATAATAGTAGTAATAGCTGCTACTTTTTCTTTTTATTGTCTCATATGTATAAGACACTCTTTTACCTATGTCCTTTGATTTAATCCCAGCTCTGATGAGACAAATCTTAACAGCCTCATTTTACAGATGGACTGAATCATAGTGGCTTTAAGAATAGAAAAGCTTCACATCTGTGCCGATGGCTGACACATGATTCAGCCTCAAAGGGATGAAGTGAACTACATTATCTTCTTGACTTACTTCAAGTATTGTTATTTTACAGTGTATTTCCCTCTGTAGGTTGTAGTTACAAAAGTTGAAAAGTCACTGCCTTTAGGTTACCAGAACCTCGTAATACTATCGAAATGGAGCTATGTGCTAGAACATGGAGATGTCTTTGTCATGCAAAACATTCCGTTAAAAATTTGATATTAACTATTTATCTATACAGATATATATATAGTTACCAAAGAAAGCATTTCTTCTTTCTCTTTAAGTAAACTTCTTAAAATTTCCATATGAATGAATTCAAAGCACAATCAAAATATGCACAATCAAAAAGAGAAGTGTTCTCTTCTTTTGTAATTCCCAAAATGCTAATATTGTTAACTGTACTCAATATATTTTGAATAATGTAATGTAAACTCTAGCTACTTAACTCCATTTTCCTGCCAATTTAGTCATTGTGCACCTGCCATATTTGTCTCTCTTCATAACCTAAAATAAAGGATGAAGGCTGAATAATAAAACAAAATGCTTAACTCTATTTTGTATTCATTCTGCCATCCTTTTATTGAAACACTTTGAATAGTATCTACATATGACTTCAATAACTATCATAATACTGTATTCTCAATTGAAATGAAATGATAGAGACCATAAATATTTGATGTCCTTTCTCCCTATTACTCTCTATGTATGCTTTCCATCTTGATGTCAGGGGACCATTCTGAAGAGAGTAGGATGAGATTTCATATTTGCTAAGAGATTTCTTTTGCATAATGCTTTAGAAATGCTCAGGAAGTCAAGAGTTCAGCTGTTGAAAGTCTATAAACCATTGCATAAATTATAGCAGCTTTTAAAATCCTCACCATAAAAGTCTCATAAAAGGTTATTTTCATATTTAAAATTCACTGTGAATTTATTTTTTGACCAGAAAATGAGATAAGAGTTGTCTTTAAGCTACTGTAATTCCCAGGTGTGTTTCTAATTAATTAAAGTCATGTCAAAACAGGTCTGTTTTGTTGAAATTAAATTACCTTTGTTCTTCCTTTCCAACACATTTCCAAATCTGGGAGGAAAGACATTCAATAAAATACCAGCAACAAGGTTCCTATTCTTTGAAATATGAATGGTAAATAAAATGTTCTAAAGGTAGACACAGATCTATTTTATGGATTTACCTTTGTCATTCACTATCTAAAGCCAAGCTGTATGCATAAAAAGTAAATAAAAATATGACACAAGGCAGTAGTCATAATCCCTTCTTTTCCTTCATCTGTACAGCACTTATTCTGAGCCCTCCCATAACACTAGATACTTCTTACGAGGTATTGTGTTACGTGTGTTTCATTCTCTCTGCTACAATACAGCTCTTTAAGAAAGGCCCCTTCTCAAAGTCAAAAGATACAATCAGTTATAAAATAAATAAATCATGGGGATATAATGTACAGCACAGCAACTATAATAATACTGTATTGCATATTTGAAAGTTGCTAAGAAAGTAAATCTTAAAAGCTCTCATTACAAATGCAAATCAAAATTACAATGATATCGCCTTACACCCATTAGAATGGCTATAATTAAGACAAAAAGTAACTGTTGGAGAGCATGTAGAGGACAGGGAACCCTCATACACTGCTGGTGGGAATGCAAACTGGTGCAGCCACTATGGAAAACAGTATGGAGATTTCTCAAAAAAATAAAAATAGAAATTATCCCACTACTAGGTATCTATCCAAAGAACATGAAATCAACAATTCAAAGAGATTTATGCAGCTCTATGTTCAGTGCAGCATTATTCACAATAGCCAAGACATGGAAGGAACTCAAGTGCCCATCAACTGATGAATGGACAAAGAAGATGTGGTGTATATATACAATGGAATACTCCTCAGCCATAAAAAGGACAAAATCATGCCATTTTCAACAACATGGAGGGACCTTGATGGTGTTACGTTAAGCAAAACAAGCTAATCAGGGAAAGACAAACACTGTATGATTTCACTCATATGTGGAAGATAAACAAACACATGGATAAAGACAACAGATTAGTGGTTACCAGGTGAGACGGGGGTGGGGGAGAGGGCGAAAGGGGTAAAGGGGAAGATATGTATGGTGACAGATGAAAACTAGACTATCGGAGGTGAGCACAATGCAGTCTACACAGAAACTGATATATAGTAATGTACACCTGAACTTACACAGTGTTATAAACCAATATGACCTCAATAAAACAATTAAATTTAAAAAGTTCCTTTAGAGATTCAGGCTTTGGAGATAGTTGATGCTGATCTCCCCCCACAGCCTAAACTCCCTGCAACATGGGGATCTCTGAGGCTCAGCAAAGCTTCCTCACCTGAAACTAAAAAAAAAAAGAAAGAAAACGTTCTCATTACAGGAAAAAACTTTCTGCAACTATGCGTGCTGTCGGATGTTAACTACACTCATTGTGGTGATCGTTACACAATATATACAAAAATTGAATCATTATGTTGTACACTGGAAACTCATATAATCTCGTATGTCAATTATACCTCAATTTTAAAAAGGTCCCTTCTCTTATTTATCTTTTTATCCCTACTATACCTAGCTCTGATTTTGCACAAATATGTCATTCACAACATTATTTTTATTAGTGGTTTAAAAAAAATCTATTGAATATTTGAAGAACACAGTAAAGTAAAAAAAAAAAAGGAAAAAAATCAAATGATCCTCCAGTTTGCTCATCTAAATAAACCAGAGATAATGTTTTAAAATATTTACCCTCCTTTACTTTTTTCCTGTTTGTGGCCATTTTTACATAGATATAAGCTTGATGTGCACATAATTTATATATAAAGTTAGACATTATAACATGAACAGCCTCCCATGTTATTTTAAAATCATAATGGACACATAGCTACATAATATTTCATTTAGAGGATATTAAAATACAAAATTATTCACCATCCTTTTTTTGTGAGGCATAAAGGTTATTGCAAACTCAGCTGAGTCCCTAAACCCTCAGTGTTTCTGAATATTCTGTGTCTCATTGTGAGGTTAGAAGTGTGGCCAGTGATCTGCTGATAAGACCCTATTTCAAGGCGTAGGTTTTAGCATGCGTTGTATTCCAACTAAGAGATCCTTGTATTGTGCACAGCTCTGAAGTGTGAGATACTGGGGTGCATCAGATACTGGCAGTTTTGTCCCCCTACTTTTCTACCTTGATCATCCAAAAGACTGACCTTCTCAAGAAGAGGAAGCAATTGCAGCTTTCAGCAGCTGAAGAGCTACAGCGCCTCAGCCTATTCCTAGCAGACACTAAGTCACGCCATATACACACTGTTAACTAAGATGCTCCATTAAAGAGAAATGAGCCTTTAAAAGAAGACCCCTGTTCCTGGGGCTTCACCACCCATAGACGAGACCCCTTGATTCTACGCATGGGCTCTACCTCTTACCCACACACTTAACCCCAAGAACCACCTTGCTGTCCCAGATGCCAGTCTCTGCTCTGCACTATATATTCACCTCTGCTTGGTCTTTTTGAAGTTAATAGCCCCTTCAGATAATTTTTTATTTAGGGGGAGTGGGAATCTCCACCCAATTCTGCTACAGACTGCATTTTCCGGCGTGCTCCATTCCCTCATCCAGGCCCAAATCTCAAAACTCCCTTCCAGGTTAGCACCTTAGCCCACCTTCCTGTGCAGGGCAAAAGATCAGACAGTGATTATTCGGGAGATAATTTTCACATTTTCAAATGCTGTGGATTTTATTTAATATGTTGTGTTCATACAATCTGGCCTGAATATTTTTAAGGTTTTTAAACATTTATTGATAGTTTCTTTAGAGATAAGTACATGACTTTTCACTAATGTTTCCTTAGACATTTGAGAAGAACATGAGATACATATATTTAGAGCACAGAAGTTTGTATAAATTTATTAATTTTAATACTCTAATATATACTCTAAATTTCAATGCTTAATCTATTTGTGATTATTATTGTCCTGTTAAAAGTTACATTATGATTACATACTTTTAAGGTTTTCTTTGTTTTTTAAAATATTTGCTTTTGTGTCTTATATAGATATCAGTGTATTATTATACTGTCTCCAATATTGATTTGATTATAATATTTATAAAATATTTACCAGAGTTTTCTCATAGAGAAAGTTCTCAATAAATATTATTGCTGTGGTTACTTTAACAGAAATGAAATAGAGGTTTTGGAAAGGAGAAATGAGATGTCATGTGAAATGTATGTATTTTTTCTATATAAAATGATATTCTCTCTCAGTGTGGGATCACTTTTGGAGGCAAGTAACAGATATCCAACTACAGTGGATTAACCATATATGAGTTTATTTTTTTCCACATAAGTTGGAAATTCATCGTCCATGGTACCTTCTCTCTTTCTGCTCTGCCATCTTTAGTTGCAGCTGTCATCTCCATGGTTGCCTCAACCTCTTGCCTCTGAAATGTGATTTTGGCAAGAAGAAGAAAAAAGAAGCAACTAGGAGGAAAAGGCAGCGCCGAGAGAGAGAGAGAGAGAGAGAGAGAGAGAGAGAGAGAGAGAGAGAGAGAGAGAGATTCACCAGCATTCCACAGTTGGCTTCTGATTATGTGACACGGGATAGAACTGTCACATGGCTTCCTATATGCAAAAGAGGATGGTAATGTCAATCTTTTAGCAGGCCATTTGGCATCCCAAATAAAATCGATGTCTTGTTAGGAAGCAAGAAGTGCAGAAAGGATATTAGGTAGGAAACAAATGTCTGCTTTGTTTCTTTAGATACCTTTTATTTTCATTTGTTTGATCTTTATTATTTTATTTTATTTGTTTGACTACTTTATCAT